TATTAATAAAATTATTTACAATAACATATAATAAAATTTATAATAATTTTGATGAAAATTAACTTAACCTTAATCGCATACTATTGTTACTAGCAGGTCTTTTTGATGATAACTTATAATTTTGAATCATGATAATTCAAATGTACAAGAAGAACATAATGAGTTTATGTCAATATTTTAAAAATTAAAATCCTGAAGAGACTAAATTCTGATACAATAAATGTTGAAAAATCATTCTAAAAATCACAATTCTGAAAGAACATAGATTAAAAAAACATAGATTAAAAAAGTAATAGTGATTTTTTAAAGCTATACCTTTAGAAATTATGACTTTTGGAATTATATTCTTTTAGAATTGTAATTTTTTTATAGTCATAATCTTTTAGAATTTAATGTATTAAAATTTATTATTTTAGAGATTTTAATCTTCAAGATATTGATATCTAAATATAACCACTTACAATAAGTTATTTATGGGTCATTTTATTTTATATATATGCTTTATTTAGTATATAAGTACAATAGTCACTATATTTATTGATAAGAATTTGCTTCACTCATTTGCACTAATATAGTTATTTATATATTAATTATATTTATAATAGATTTAGCCTGTAACTAACAATCACTTATCAATTGAAATCTTTAAGGTAAATAATTTTTTTAATAATTAACTTCTTATTTGTATTGATTTGTAGATAAATATAACTATTAATCATTAGTTGTACATTAATTATTATTTAATATAAGCTACTATATATTTCTAAAAATAAGCTACCCCCTCTTTTGAAAAAAAATCTTAAAAACATTACTCTAAAAATAAACTATCTTTGTAATTTTTCTATAATCTTAAATAGTTGCTATATATAAAAGTCAAATTTCTACTATGTAAATTGATAAAAGCTAATTAATACAAGTTGTTCAGGAGATAAAAATATATATTCTAAAAGTTTTAAGCAAATTGAAAAACTTTTACTAAAATGTTTTTGCATTATATATTAAAATGTAAAATACAAAAACATCTAGTAAAAAGTTTTCAAATTATATCAAACTTTCAAAATATGTGTATTTGTACCTTCTAGACAATCTATATTAAGTGTTCTTTATTGATTTACTTAGTAGAATTTTGACTTTTATATATAGCAACTACTTGCACTTAATGAAAAATAGCTAAAAATGATTAAAAATCAATTATATTAAAAAATAAGCTACCCATGATTTTTGTATAACTTTTTAGCCAAAAAAGAGTAGCTTATTTTTGGAAATCTATGATATTTGCTTCTTATTTAATTATTAATTGAATTAGTCTTTATTGATTACTTTGTATTATAGATAATAATGATGATTATTGAAAACCTTAGAAAGGAATTTTTTTCTTACTTAGACAATATTGTTGTTTTATTTTTTTTGGAAAGGTTAATTGTGAATTTTGGGCTTTATAGATATGAACTACAATTAATAAGCTTTTGAAGTTATATTACTATACTACTACTATTATTTAAAAAAATAAATAAATAAAATAGAAAATAATAATTTGATATATGTATTTTTATTATTAATTAAATAAAAATCATAATTTTTATTATTGAATTTGGTTTAGTAGTTATTGAGAAACCTTCACTAGAAGTTTTTAAAAGCTTAAAATATCTGGAAAAAAATTAAAATCTGCAAATTTTTTTCTTTAAAATTTTAAACAATAATTTCTCAGCAAATATTTATCCAAATTCAATAAATTTTTTTTAATTTGATTCTGCAACTATGTAGGATTAAAATAAAAATTTTTATTAAATTTGAATAGATGAGTATTAAGAAATATCAATTAAAAGCTAACAGCTTTTTTTTTACAAACATCTAAAATTTGGATAAAAATAATTTCGCAGTTACCAAATTAAATTTAAACAATTTTTTTATTTTAATTCCGTGAAGCTGCAGAATTAAAATAAAAAAATTAATCAAATATGTTCAGGTAAGTGTCAAGCAATCCTTGTTTAAATTTTAGATACTCATAAAAAAAAAGCTATAGCCAAATTTTTTTTAACTTATAATCAATATTTCTCAATATCTATCTACTCAATATCTATCTATTTAATTTTAGTAAATTTTTTTATTTTAGTTCTACATTCTTGCAAAATAAAAATAAAAAAATTTTTGTTAATTTTGAATATATAGATGTTGAAAAATCATTATTTAAAGTTTTGTAAAACAATTTAAGAAAAAGAATATTGTAATAAAATTATTAACTTAAACTTTAAGCAACTGTTGCTCAACAACTATTTATCCAAATTTAATAGATTTTTCTAATTTTAATTCTAAAAATTTGTAGGATTAAAATATATAAAATTTATTGAATATTAGCAGACAAATATTGAAAAATATTAATTAAAAAATTTGGCCATAGCTTTTTTTTTACAGATATCTAAAATTTGAATGAATATTACTTGGCACTTATCTGATTATATTCAATCAATTTTTTTTATTTTAATTTTGCAGTCTCATAGAATTAAAATAAAAAAATTTTACTCATATTGATCAGATAAGTTCTTGTTAAAGGTTTAGATATTTGTAAAAAAAAGGTTGCAGTTAGATATTTTTTTCTAGTTATTTCTCTATATTTATTTATTCAAATTTGATAAAAATTGGTTTAATTCTATGTACTTGTAGAATCAAAAAAAAAACATTGAATTTGGATATATATTGTTGAGAAATCATTTAAAATTTTAAAAAGAAAAAATTTGCTGATTTTAATTTTTTTTTAAAGATATTTCAAGCTTTTTAAAAACTTATAGTGAAGGTTTTGCAATAACCACTAAACCAAATTTAATAAACTTTTTTTATTTTAATTTTATGAATATATATAATCAATTTGACTCTAGAATTAGATCAGAAATAATCTACAATGATCTTTAGTATGAAACCCATTAATCACATGATTTATCTCTACTTTAGAGACCTTAGTAGCTAGACCACAAAAAATTTTCTATTCATGTCCAATCAAAATAACCAAAATATTAAAAATCCTTTTAAGATTTTGAAAAAATATTTTTGATTCTAGTAAAGATTTCTCAATAACAAGTTGATTAAACTCAGTAAAATTTTTTTATTTTAATTATATATTTTATTGTATTAAAATAAAAAAAATTCATTGAATTTAGATTGATAGATGTTGAGAAATCTTTGCTAAAAATTTTAGAAAAGATTTAAATATCTTAGAAAAGACTAAAAATCAGGGTAAATTTTCTTTTTTTTAACTTTAAACAACAATTTCTCAACAACTATCAATTCAAATTTATGGTGGTTTGCAAAAAGGTGTGACCTCTGCAGATCATAATGTCATGTAAAATCATGAAAAATCAGCCGATTCTAGTAGATTTTTTGTTTCTTGGAGAATTTTAAAGATTTCGAATAAAATATAGACGTTATTGATTGAAAATTATGATCAATAGGGAATTAAAATCTCAGAAATTTCTCTGCTATCATCATCACGAAATCACAGGGTCACACCTTTTTGCAAACTGCTATAATAAAATTTTTTATTTTAATTCTGTAGGCCTATAGAATTAAAATAAAAAAATTATCAAAATTGGATACCTGATCAAATTCAATTAATTTTCTTTATTTTAATTTTATAAGTTTATAGAATTAAAATAAAAAAATTTGGTCTAATTTTTCAGGTAAATAGCAAGTAATCTTATAAAAAAAAAAGCTGCAGCTAATTTTTTTTTCTAAACTGTTTAGTAAATTTTCTCAACAACTACCAATCCAATTTTGATAATTTTTTTTATTTTAATTCTATAATTTACAGAATTAAAATAAAAAAAATCGTCAAATTTAGAATGATACATGTTGAGAAATATTTGTTGAAAGTTAAATAAAAAATTTATTGCAATTTTTTTTTAAAATTTTTTTAAAAATATTTAAGTAAGGATTTTTCAACAATTATCAATTCAAATTTGATAAAAATTTTTTTATTTTAATCCTATAAGTTTATAAAATTAAAATAAAAAAAATTATCAAAATTAAATAGGTGGTTGTTGAGAAAGTTTACTAAATATTTGGAAAAAAATTAGCCGCAACTTTTTTTATTATAGATGCCTAAACTTTGAATGAAGATTACTCGGCATTTACCTGATCAAATTAGGCCAAATTTTTTATTTTAATTCTATAAACTTACAAAATTAAAATAAAAAAAAATTGATCAAATTTGATCAGGTAAGTGCCGAGAAATCTTCGTTCAAAGTTAAGGTATTTATAAAAAAAATGCTGTGGCTAATTTTTTTTTAAAAAAAAACTTTGTAAACTTTCTCAACAACAACCTATCCCAATTTCGATAAATTTTGTTTATTTTAATTCTATAAGCCTACAGAATTAAAATAAACAATATTTTATCAAATTTGAATCGATGGTTATTGAGAAATCGTTGTTTAAAGTTAAAAAAAAGAAAATTTACACCGATTTTTTAGTTTTTTCTTTTACTGGGTTTAATCAACTTGTTATTGAGAAATCTTCGCTAGAATCAAAAATATTTTTCAAAATCTTAAAATGATCTTCAATATTTTGATTAATTTGATTGGACGCCGCTCACGTGTGCGGAAAATTTTTTGTAGTCTAGCTACTAAGGTCCCACTTTAGACGTCCCCCAAAAGCGGCACAAAATACAAATTCACACCACATAGGCATAAATAGTAAGGAAAATAAACAGATGGACCCGTCAAAATTGAATATCGTTAATAAGGTTATTAGTGAGTTAGAAAAGGTGTAATTTTATTAAATTTATTGATGACCAAAAAATAATACATTACAACATTCATAAACAACAAACATGATCAATGAAATAATAGAAGCATTTTAAAGATAACTAATAAATTAATATTTAAAAACAATAAATAATATTTAATAGATATATATTAATGATAAATATTTTGAGATTTAGGGTTAATTGCTAAGCGGAAGTAAAGTTTAAAGAATCTTATTTATTCAAAATGCCTGTCGTTATCTTAAAATTAAGAGAAACGATTTCTAGGAAACTGCACACATGAAACCACCGCACCTAGATCAAGTAGTGTAACCTGGATAGTATGAATAGGCTCAACGTAGGCAGGTGTAAAGATAATCAAATCCTGTATAAAAGTTGCATTTCCAACAAATTCATGTCGAATCGGACGGTCAAAACTAGGATCAGCACCATTAAGTTGGTTAAGGAATACGATTTCAATATCAGTAAAACTGTCAAAACTTTCGACCGTTGAGTCATTCAGGTCTTTTATATTTCCCCGAACTTGAATTTTTATAGGTGTATCCGAATCAGGCGATGGAACAGGATCAGGATCAAAATATACTTCTGCGATAGGAGTATATGGATCACACGCTTCAAACCCATTATTAGCCTTAACTATTAAAAACATTGCTAATAGTAATATGAATATAAAAGAAAAGTTTTTATTCATCATTTTTTAATCGAATAGTATATAATTAATTTTATATTTGATTTGTTATGTAATTATCGATAGTTTGTTTTTTTAGCCGTCTATTTATATAAAAAAAAAATCATTAATATTTCTACGCCCTAAAAAAGTTTCTTTTTTTTAAATAATAATAATAATAATAATAATAATAATAATAATATTATTATTATTATTATTATTATTAATCATTCATTTTATAAAATTTGGGTAGGATTAGCTGATTGGCTAGTTATGGTAAACGCATCCCATGTGGGATTTTAATTTTTGGGAATCCGCGATTTGCCCATCAATGACAGTTAAATATTAGGGATAGAGTCGTGATACGATGATCGGATATTTAGTGGATATATGATAGATCGAACTGAATGTTCAGATTAGGGTTGCGAGACAAACACTCTTTTTTAGTAACGGCTTTTCTACTTAGTTTGGATTTGGAAATCGGTATTTCTACCTAGTTTGGGTTCATAATCAAACCCCAAATATGTATTCCATTTCAATAAATAGTGTCAATTCAAAAACTATCAATTCATTAAATAAATATTCGGGATTTAATAGAATAATCTTTGAATTATTCAACAAATTAGACTTTAATCAGGTTTAATGATTAATAATCTACCGGATAATAAAATATAGTTAAGTCAATAATACAAAAAATTTTGTTTGAGTATTACTAAGTACATCAGGAAATTTTGAAAACTGATTAAAATCTGATGATTTTAATCGATTATTATCACCCCTGCCGATTACACGCGATAATTGATTATGATAAAACAAGTAAATTTAATAATATTGCCGTACTGAGCAAGGGTGTTCTCAAGCACTTCACTCAATGGATCGGAAGTAACCAAATGAGTTACTATTTCGATGAAAAATTAAGCGAGACACAAACCACCTTTTATCTTCAAAAATTTACCATTGATACTGTAAAGGTCGCACAAGCATTATTTCGAAAATTGCATTTCCTTAAAATAGCGTATTGGTTTCGAAATAACGCCCATGTGCGTCCCCGAAATAATGCACACTCCAAATGGCAATTAATAATCTGTTAAAATGACGAATTGTGATAACAAGCAGAATCAAGAATTTTTTAGTCAAAAAATCTGACTTAGATCGGAAAAGCTGTATATAAAATTAAGAAATACCGGTTTTTTATGCATCACACATATATAACGCATCAATTTTGTCCTTTACCCCGAAATAACGCCCATGCGCGTACTTGAAATAACGCGCATCCCCTTGAAATAATGCGCAGGTGCGCGTTATTTCGGGTAAATACAGTAAGGATTTAAAGTAATATTATAATTAATTAGTAGTCTAAAAGGGTAGTAGTATTATATAGAGAATGGTATATATGTACTTAAATAGAAAATAGAAATTTACATAAAAAAATTATAGAGCTTAGTTGTTTGAAGTGAAGTTTTATAGAGGTTTTTTATATAGTTATAAATGAGAAGAGTTATATATGATAGTAAGAGGTAAGCATTGAAGATGAGTAATAAAATAAGTGTAAAAGCTAGACATTCAAGGTTAAAATAGAACTGATTTGTATAAATACAAGTAGAAATATTTTTATTTGTATAAATTTAAGTAAAAAAATTTTATGTAGATTATAGCTTTTGAAAATATGTAGATATTGTTTATAATTTAGTATATTTTTTTAAAAAAATAAATTTTTATTTTAAAAAGTTTTAATAAGAACTTATAGGTTAAAAAGTTTTGTATAGATTTATTTTGTGCTAGTTAATTGAAGCTAGAATAGTGTAAATATTTAGTATAGTCAATAATAGTAGTGTAAACATGTTAGATAAAATGTGAATCAATATATAAGTTATTAAATAAATATTAAGATTAGTAATTTTATGAAGGTATTGAGTAAAAAAAAATTAAAAAATCTAGAAGAGTTTAAAAAATTCAGAATAAATATTAACTCAGGTAATACAATTTATTAATAAGGTATGATCAGACTTGCTAGTAAAATTCAAAATATATAAGATAATGGTATAATATTGTTGCATTAAACCAGAAATAAAATATCAATAAAATGTGTTCAGTTCTATATAATATAATAACTATCTGTGATATATATGTGGTTGAGTAGTCGTATTCAATTTATTGTGATTTATATTACAAGTTTTTACAAAATCTTCTTCCAAAACATACTTGATATTTTATTAGCACAAGAATATTTTAACATCTAGTTAGTTTATATTGGAATTATTACAATTCTTTTATGAGTGATTGTAAATATTCTTGTAAAAATTACTCACTATTCTAATGCTGATAATTAGAATATATGGCTAAAATTAAATTAGTTTATATTGGAATTAGTTCATATTAAAATTAGGATTAATTTATTTGTAGCCATGGCTACATGTAGCTATATTCAAAAATTTACAATAACACAAAATTTTACTAGGGTAACCCTGTTGTATAACTACAGTGGCCTATCATATTATTATAGACACTTTTTAAAATTTTATATTGAGCTAAATAAATATAATAGAAATTTAAAAATTATACAAATTATTATTTAAAACCCAAATTTTTAAATAAAAAAGGTTTGCAAAATTCTATGCAGTAGTTTTTAAGTTAATTAAGGTTATATAATTTTGTGTAATATTATACTCGTATGAAATTAATAATTTTAAAAAATTAGTTATTATAATTATTGTATATTAAAAAAATTTTATTAAATAAACTATATATAGTTATTATATAAAATTTGTTCAGTATAATTATATATAATTCTAAATTTTTAAAAACTTTTAAAAAATTTTAAGATAAATATTATTATTTAAAGTTAATGTTAAATTATTAAAATAAAATTATCAAATTATCAAATATAGTAATTTTATTACTATATATAGTAATTTACTAAATATTTTTAAAAATTATCAAATTTTCAAAATAAGTACAATTTGTTATACTACATACCTTTTTAAAAAAAAATTGCTAATATACTTGCTAAAAAATTAAGTTTTATATTTATTAAAAATTAATATTTAAATTTATACTAAACCTATATTAAAAAACTAGTAAATTATACAAATAAAAAAATTTCAAAAAAATTTAAACTTAACTATTTCAAAAAATAATATATAGAATTTTATAATTTTTTTTTGGTTTTACTAATACACACCACTAGTGTTTAATGACAGTATCAGAAATTAGATCAGAACATCATATAATTATATTAATAATTATTGGTTAATTAGTATAGATCAATGCATAAAGTATATACAGATATATACATAGCATTATTTTTTTAATTAAAATTATGCTATACAATCAAGCAACCTACCTACTTCTATTGCTATAAATCAATACTATATGTATGTACATACATATATACGTATATACCTTATTTAGTGCATATAAGAAATATCACTGATTGATCATTGAACTGAGCATAATTGGGCATACCACATGCTTGGTTATGCAGCCTTGATACTTGTATCGAGCTGCTTTTCTTGGCTATAAAATAGCCAATTTGGCCAAGTTAATCTGATTTTTAGCCGCCAATGGCCAAAATGGCCTAACAAGTTTTAAAGTGTATAAATAAGTTACCAATTATACAAATACCCTTTCATGAGTCCAAAATTAGCAAACTAGCGAAAATATAAAATTAAGCTTTCACTATAGCGAATTTAGCTTAGAAGAATTATCTTCTAACCGTGAATATTTTTTTAAAAGTATGTTTATATTCATTATGTCAGGGCTAATTCGCCATAATAAAAGCTTATGTTTTGCTTACAAGTTTTCATCTTGCAGTACTTAATATAATATTCCAGTGCTAAAGAAAAAAAATTTAAAGAATTAGTAAATGCATAATAATAAAGCCTAACTACTAAATCTAGTATTGTTACTGGACTACAAATATTTTTTTTTATAGCAACAATTTGTATACTTATTACTAGTGTCACAAATATAATTAATATGCATGTGACTCAGGGGTAAGTAGTTACTGATTCAGTGATCGAGAAAGATCGGGCGAGTATATGATGTAATAAACTAGTGATTAAATAGTGGGTGGCATGATTATTTTGCATAATTAATGTAATCATAGTTAAGATAATCAATAATTGTATAAATAATATAGTTATAGTTAGGAAAACTCTTTCCGGTTCACCCCTGAAAATCATTGACAATAGTAAAAAGTAAAAAAAATCTTTGCAAGTTTTTAGTATTATAGTAATTCATACAACAAGCCCTTTGGGCAAGCAAGTTACTCTGGTATATAATAAGTAATTACAATCGGCAAGATAGAGAGAATCTACAGTACCCAAGAAACACAAGTTCCTCAAGTCTTAGCTC